GTTGGAATTGCAGTCACGACACTGATTTGTTATTCATAATTTGAATTTGCCTACTCAGATGCACTTGGAATCTTTTCTGGACTCACAGTTTGAATACATAATGGCATCTGCTCACAGTGAAAACAGATGTCCAAGAACATTTTACAGTTGAATCTTTACTCTCATTTGTTGTTGCAGTAACTGTTGTTGGGCACTTGGCCAGGAAACTGTGACTCCTAAGCAAAGGGAGGAGTTACAGATAAAGTTCACCATTGCCAGAGAGATTCTATTCCAAATGGATTTGTGTGGAGCAACAGTGATATCCAATGACAAGTTAAATTAGACACAGAGGTGTTTCTCCCACACAGTCTCAGAAGATACATTCCGTTGAGGGACTTGGTTCAGGCGAAACAGTCTTCTTGAAGTTAGATTAAAGTCACACACACTAAAGAATTCTATTAGGGATTTTAAGAAGATTTTTGTTATGTGACTTCAGGAACTACTTTACCCAGATAGTTTCAGTTTGCAAAACGGCAACCAGTGACAGATGAGGTAATTCTTCTTTCAATTGTAGTCAAATCCAAAACCAGTAGAGTTTGCTTTTATAAAATTTCAAATATAGTAAATTGCATGTTTATGTTAAGTCTGAGACTGTTAGATCCCTATTCTTTTAAAGCACATGATAGTAATGATTTTATTTCTTGTAGTTAATATCTGTATTTGAATGGAATTTTTCAAGTATTTTGTCTTAATGCTGTGGGATATGATAGTAAATACGGTTAGACCTATTTTTATTGAAGACTGTGTTAGGTTTTACAGTTCCTGTGCATCTCCTAGATTGTCCTCTTGTTAATGCTCAGATCTTCACTCACAAGTGACTTTTCTGTGGGGATTTCTGGCTGAAGGGCTACGCTTTATGACTGGGTGCATAGTATAGTCGTAGGTTTGGGGTAGTAATTATATATTTTGAAGCTTGTTTTTAATTTTTACAGAAATGTTCATGCTCTTGAACATAGGTAAAATTATTCTACTAGTTAATTAAGAACATAGTAAATTGGCATTGGCAGATCTGTAGAAAGGTCTTGACTCTTAGAAAAATTTGGTTAGTCTATTTTTTGAAATATTCATGTCAGTGAGCTAGTCATCATTGACACCATATAGTTGACACAATATCTTATACTTTGTTTAGTTTATAAACTCAATGAGGAGTGTCATTGATTTTAGGCTGAGAGGTAAGTATCTATTGACTGTCCTGAGATGTGCTAAGAAGCTTTAAGGTTTCTCTTGCGGCAAAGTAAAGGCTGCTCTTCCAGCAGCTGGGTGTTTATTATCTTTATAACCCTGGTGTATGTGTGCAGTGCCTATATTTGGGTTAGTACTCTGTGGCACAGCTGCCCCTTTGGTTATTATAGCGTTGCTTGCGCAGCAAATTTGATTTCAGTCTGTATAGCTCCTCCCTCCATGTTTCATAGGTTAAGGAAAAAGGAAGGTTGAGAAAACTTGGAGGTTTTCACATAAAGATTGCAACACAAGTCAGGAGGGCACGGGAGTGGCTTCTGTGAGTTAGAGTACTTGTTTGAGTGAAAGGAGAAAGGATATTTGGTCAAAGTTTTTCATAAAAGGTATTACTTCCTAATTAAGATGTTTTTACTAATATACTGTGTATACACGTCTGTGCACGTGTGTGCGCATGGGAGTGCAGGCCTCTGCAGGCGGAGAGTTCTCTTCCTGATGATGCTGCAAAGATTGAGCTCAGGTCACTAGGCTCCACAGCAAGTGCTCCTGACCATCTGCCAGGTCGTGTTCCCAATTTTAAGAGCTCACGAGCCTCTGTAACTCTGACTACCCTCAAATACACAATTTCCATGAAACATGCCACAAAGTGAGATGTGTTGTAGCCCATATCCAATAAATGTGTTTAATTGAGCGGGTAATGTGATTAGTTAAGTCAGAGAGGAATGAGAGATACAATTTGATAGATACTTAGCAATGCTTATTTTGGCAAAAACAGATTTTCATATTCCTGAAGCGTGTTATTCCCAGAGGTTAACAAGGGTACGCTCACAGTTCTTGCTTTCTTTTAAACACTTGTGCAGTCTGTCTTCTGACCAAGAAAGGAGCTGCTCGAGATGCTTTTCTGCCTTTCTGTGTTTAGCAGTCTCCCCTACTGCATCTGATGCTGGCACCGGCCAGATGTCTTTCCTCTATCAGAGTCGAAACCACTTTTAAAAGCTATGTGGTTCTGTACCTCTTTTTTAAAATGTATGATGTGAAAGAAAAATCTTCCTCAGGTCACTCCTTCCTGTATCCCCTTAGGATATTTTAGGCATGTCAGCTGTTAAGGCTCTGAGCAAAGATTTATACAGTTGGCCCCTTTGCCAGACCTGAGCCTGTTTGAAAAGCCCCAGCATTAGTAGTAGCTTTTAGTTTTAAGAGTTACAACATTATTTGTGTCTTTCACCTCTGTTGTTTTCAAAAGGATTTATGTAGCTGGGGATCCTCAGTAATGAAAGAGATTTTGTTATCAGTGAAAAAGCAGGGTAAACTTGGGAGGATCACTGTAGTGTTTGGAGTTAAGCACTTGTTTTGTTATTGTTGTTGTTTTAAGGTTTGTAGCTCTGTGGTAGAGTGCTTGATGCACAAGTCCTGTGTTTGCTTTTCTAGCCCTCAAAATAATAAAAACAAGAAACTAACGAAAAGGAGGTTTGGGTGGGCATCTGTACATGCTCCTAATGAAAAGGAGGTTTGGGTGGGCATCTGTACATGCTCCTAACGAAAAGGAGGTTTGGGTGGGCATCTGTACATGCTCCTAACGAAAAGGAGGTTTGGGGGGGCATCTGTACATGCTCCTAACGAAAAGGAGGTTTGGGTGGGCATCTGTACATGCTCCTCTTAGCTGTCAGCATTCCTTTTCTTCCTTACCATACTTAAGACAAGATGAAATAAAAAATGATTTTCCAAAAACTAGGTTTTTTGTTTTGTTTTGTTTTGTCTTTTGTTTCTTCTAAGACAGCTCTGGCTGACCTGGATCTGACTGTATAGATCAGTCTGGTCTCAAACTCATAGAGATCTCTTTGCTTCTTCTTGGTTTAAGGGCATTGCCAACATACCTTTACCCCCTCCACTCAAGCCTAGATTTTCTTAGAGAAAGTATGTTTTTTACATAACATTTCTTTTAGAAACTAACAGATTTATGGAGCTAATCTATGTGTGGTAGCAGTTATGTCCATGAGATGCAAATGATTTTCATGTTTTTCAGGAAAATAATAGTTTTTGCATTTAAGTCTTCAATTGAATTATTTTAAGCAAGTCTGTGAAAACTCATCCTTCTTTAAAGCTGTCCATTTTACTACAATTTGTAACAAAGTATATGAGTTTGTGGAGAAGTTTTGAAAAGAATGTGTGTGTCTGTGTGTGCATGTCTGTGTGTGTGTGCATGTCTCTGTGTCTGTTGTGTGTCTGTGTGTGTGTGTGTGTGTGCATGCATGTCTGTGTGTGTATCTGTGTGTGTGCATGTATGTCCGTGCGTGCGTGCGTGCGTGCGTGCATGTGTATGTGTATGTTTGAGGCATGGCCACATGTAGTTAGGCTGGCCTTGAACTCTTTATGTAATTGAGGATGGCCTTGAACTTGTGCTGACCCTCCTCCCAGCTGGATTGCAATTGTATGCCACCATGCCTGGTTTATGTAGTGCTGGGATTGAATCCAGGGTGTTGTGCATGCCGTGCTCCAATGACTTTGTTTTGTTTTCATTTTAGTCAGGGTGATACCATGTTTCCAAGACTGACTTGAACATGAGATTGGCCTGCCTCAACCTCCTAAATGCTCCCTCACACTTGCTTACTTCCTTATATTTGTTTATTTACTTATACTTTTGTTTTAGGACAGCTCTATACGTAGGCCAAGCTGGCCTGGAACTCAAGTAGCCAGCAAAAAACTGACCTGGAATATGTGATTTTCCTGCCTTAGACTCTTTACTGCTGAGATTACAGAAATGCAACATCATATCCAGCTACTTATTTTTTGTTATGTTGTTCAGTTTGGCCTTGAGCTCCTGGGCCTGCTTACCTTTTGAATACTTCAGTACTGTGCCTACCTTATTGCTGGGCTGAGCTGTTAGAAGTCTCCTCCTACCCCCCTTTATCTAAATGGAAGCATAAATAGCAGAAAAGAAAACCTAGCAGAAAAATAGGCAAAGAATGTGAATATATTTTTCTCTTAGGAAGATACATAAATTGTTAACAGATACATGAGAAGGTATTTAAAATCACAGATCATCAAATCATCAGGGAGGTTCAAATTAACATCATAATTAGGTATACAAGGGCATGGCATAAATTGTTATATAGCACCAAGTTTCCCAAAGAAATTAAAGCAATACAAGTACCTTATGAACCAGTGGTACCTTAAAGAAAATGAGATCACCCACCCTGTAAAGATGCCCGCCAGTGCGTGTGGCATCATTATTCATAATAATCAAGATACACAAGCAATCACAGTATTCCTCCACAGATGCAGGGTGAACGTGAACTCATACACACATTGTTTAGCTCTTTAAAAAGGAGCTTCTACTATTTGCAACTAACCTAGATGAACTTAAATGACATTGTAATGAGAAAATACACCAAATACAGGAAGAAATACTACATAAAATCATATGTGAAATTTAAGAAAAAATTACATAATATAGAGAGTAAGCTAGTGGTTGGGATTGGGATACATACCATAGTTACCTAGGAGGCATTTGTCTTAGGTATGTATATTCACTATAAGCACAGGTAATGGTCCGGTATCCTAGAGAGTCAAAGGAGAGGGAAAGGAAACTAACCATATGGTAAGTTGAGGTTGCTGGACCCCAGTAGTCACTGTGTGTATGTAACATCAAGACATCATGTTAAGCACCTTAAATATATACAATAATGTAAAGTTGGTTGGAAAAATAAATGAGACAGCATAGAAAAATAATTTCACTAAACTTCAGTGTTAATCAAGATACAATTTTCTCATTTTTTTTTCCACAGGGTGTTTGTGAACCGAAGTTTAGCCATGGAAAAAATTAAGTGTTTTGGTTTTGATATGGATTATACTCTTGCTGGTGAGTAATGGTTTTGATTTCTTCAAAGTCGCTGGTTTTGATAGAACGTAGCGGGTCCACAGCAGTCCAGTAATCACTTATTTGGCTGCAAGAAGCTTTTGTTGGATTTTCTTTCTATTGAGATGTGTGGACACTGAAGTTACCCAGTATTCCTGAGAGTTGATTCCTGAGCTTGTACAGATAGTTACAAAAAATTGCTTTCAAACTCTGGTTAAAAAAACCTTTTAGTAAAATTATAGATACTTGAATCATGAACATTTGAACGTTTTTGGCTCTTATTCTTTTGAGCTTTTCTTCAAAAGTAGAAAAAGTTTTTGAGACAAGTTTCATACTATACTCAAAGCTGACCTGGAGCTCATGCAGGCTGGCCTGGAGTCATGTAAGCTGGCCTGGAGTCATGTAAGCTGGCCTAGAGTCATGTAAGCTGGCCTGGAGCTCATGCAGGCTGGCCTGGAGTCATGTAAGCTGGCCTGGAGCTCATGCAGGCTGGCCTGGAGCTCATGCAGGCTGGCCTAGAGTCATGTAAGCTGGCCTGGAGTCATGTAAGCTGGCCTGGAGCTCATGCAGGCTGGCCTAGAGTCATGTAAGCTGACCTGGAGCTCATGCAGGCTGGCCTAGAGTCATGTAAGCTGGCCTAGAGTTATGTAAGCTGGCCTAGAGCTCATGCAGGCTGGCCTAGAGTCATGTAAGCTGGCCTAGAGTCATGTAAGCTGGCCTGGAGCTCATGCAGGCTGGCCTGGAGTCATGTAAGCTGACCTGGAGCTCATGCAGGCTGGCCTGGAGTCATGCAAGCTGGCCTGGAGCTCATGCAGGCTGGCCTGGAACTTGCATGAATTTTTTGCACCTGCATCCAAGTGCTGAGATTATAGGCATGTGTCAGTGTCCAGCTTAAAGATGAATTTCTGGATTTCTCATTCGCCATAAAGTTAATTATTGAAGTTTTTAATATTTTATTATTATGGATTGGGGTGAGAGATTGTAAATGCTTGGATTGCAAGCATGAACCAGCAACATTTTTAGTCCATTTCCATGTTGGCTTGATGTGGTGCTTGGAATCAAACCTAGGGCCTTGGTCATGTCGGCAAATGCTTCATTATGTGTGTATGGGGTTCACATGGAAGCAGGTGACCACCCTAGACCTGGAGTCATGGTTGTGAGCCTCTTGCTGTGGTGGCGGGAACTGAATTCAGGTCCTTTGAAAGAGCAGTGCATGCTCTTACCTGTTTAGTCATCTCTCTAGCCCATTAATAGTTTATTCTCTGACAGATAGGACATGCATTCATTTCCCATCACAATGGGTGCGCGAGCTTTGCTCATTGTTACAGTCGCCTTAAAGACTAACATTGTGCCCTTTCTTCCCGTCTGTGTCTGATACAAGGGAAATATCAGTGTGTCAGTTGATAGTTACATCGCCTCAGAGTTTAAAATGTTGACAGCATTCATTGTCAGGTTGTTCTTTAACTTTACAAGTAGTAGGTTTGAGAGGTCAGGTTGAGCACCTGTGCATGTGCTTAGCACACAGGTGTAGTTATGATATTAAGAGAAAGAATCTTCTGGAGATTCTCTTCTAAATAATTGTCTTTAGCTAAATATGGCAGTGTGGACTTGTAGTCTCAGCACGAATTTACATCTTTGAAGTTAGAAGACTTCATTAGAGAAATGTTCAGTGAAATACTGATAAAATAAAAGGTGTGTGTTAGTTTGTCCATGTCTGTCTTTAAGGCTTGAGTGTTAGGGAAATAGGTAGGTAGGTAGGTATGTTTGTATGTATGTATGTAGGTATGCCCTTGAATTTATTATCTTTGCTCAGCCTTCTCAGTGCTGGCCTACTTGATGTGAGTCTATATTCTTTATGAATATTCTGACACCTGGTAAATTTCCTCACAGCATTAACAGTTTTGTTTATGTGTACCAGTGTTTTGCCTGCATATATGTCTCTGTACTTCATGTGTGCCTGGTGTGCAGGGAAGCCAGAATAGGACCTTGGATGCCCTGGAAGAAGAGTTGATACACTGTTCTGAGCTGCCATGTAGAAATCCAGTTTGGTGCCTGTAGAAGAGCAGCAAGTGCTCTTAACCCTGAGCCACCTCAGCACGTCCCCTCCCTAGAGCATTTTATAATATAGTTGCAGGCTTGTTTGTTTGCTTGCTTTTAAGACAGGGTCTCACTGTATATCCTAGAACTCAGTACACTGAGAGGTCGTTAGCTTTAGCTTTGTGTGCAGCTCAAGCTGGACTTGGACTTGTTGTAACCCCCTTTGCTTCTGCCTCCTAAGTGCTGGGATTACAGGTGCCACCAGACCCATCCTAGTTGTAACTTTGGATAATCTGTCTACTTTTTAGCTTGTAAGTATCTCAAGGGCAACAGTTTTCTTTTCTTACCTATATTTTATGTTTACTATAAAATGTGTTACATGGTAGCTGCTAAATGAATACTAACTTTGGACGCATGTGTTCTAGTCTGTCCAGTGATTCTTAACCTGTGGGTCATGATCCCTTTGAGGGTTGCATATCAGATATTTACATTACAGTTCATAACAGTAGCAAAATTACAGTTACAGAGTAGCAACAAAATGGTTTTATGGATGGGGTCAGCACAGCAGGAGGAACTGTGTTAAGGGCAGACAAGCAAGGAAGGCTGAGAACTGCTGCTCTCGTCTGTTTGAACCCTCACATTTTGTTCTTTTTTTTAGATTTTTTTGGTAAAACAAATCTTTTATGTTACTATATTAATTATTTTCAAAAAATCAAACCACACTGGGTGTTGGTGGCACACACCTTTAATCCCAGCACTCAGGAGGCAGAGGTAGGTGGATCTCTGTGAGTTCAAGTCCAGCCTGGTCTTCAGAACTAATTCCAGGACAGGCTCCAAAGCAATGCAGAGAAACCCTGTCTCTAAATTCTAAGAAAAAAAGAGAAAGAAAGAAAGGAAGGAAGAAAGAAAAGAAAAGAAAGTTTCAAACCACAAACAACAACAAAATCGTCCATTAGAGGCAACGCTGTGGAGATGGCTCAGGTCAGTAAGTGCTTTCAGTTCAAGCCTGAGGACCTGAGTTTGTATCCCCAGAAGCCATGTGAAAATGGTGACCATAACTTTTGGCTTATAACCCTAGCCCTGGAGCTTTGGAGAAAGGCAGATCCATGGGGCTCACTGGTCAGCCAGTTTTGCCACTTGAGATCTTATCTTACAAAGCAAGGTTGGAGGTGCTTCTGTTTTTTTCCTCCTGTACCTGAGTCTGCATGGAAGCTTAGCCTACAGATGTGGCCCCTTCAAGACCCAGGGTGTTAGGAGGCAGGCCTTTGAGCCTTGCTTTCATGGCAGGAAGTATAGTACCCAGTATGGACCTAGCATGTAGATACATGGAATCTTTGATGAACCCCAAGGCTATGAAGATTCACAGGAAAACACCTCTTCCAGGTAGATTTCAGAATAAAAATAAAAAGTGTTCTGTCTTTGAAATCTCTGAAAACTAATAACAAACTGGAAAAATCCAAATAAAGATCATTTTGAAGAAAATATTTTAGCTGGGCAGTGGTGACGCATGCCTTTAATCCCAGTACTCTGAAAGCAGAGGCAGGCAGATCTCTGTGAGTTCGAGACCAGACTGATCTACAAGAGCTAGTTCCAGGACAGCCTCCAAAGCCACAGAGAAACCCTGTCTCAAAAAACAAAAACAAAACAAACAAACAAAAAAAAAGAAAGAAAAAGAAAAATGTTTTATCTTGACTCACCTTCTTTCACCCATATCTGAAAAACTATGAAGATATAAAAGATCTTGGAGGGTGAATCTCTCAGCAAAGATAACAGTTTCCTTATTTCAAATAAAAAGGAAAGTGTATACAAATATTGGGTCAGTTATCTCCAGTATCAAGTACAGAGTCTGCAAAGACTGGAGTGTAGTGATATATTGTTTGTAATCTAACAAAGCTTGCCTGAAGATCAGAGTGCAGAGCTGAGCCACTAGACACACACACACACACACACACACACACACACACACACACACAAGTTAGCTGTAGAGGGCAGGCAGTGGAGGCCACATTTTTAATCCCAGCACTTGGGAGACAGAGGCAGATGGATCTCTGTGAGTTCAAGGCCACCCTGGGCTACATGATAGTGAATCGGTCTAAAAGATAAACAGAGCTCGCACCTTTGATCAATATCTGTTTCTGAGTTTTATTATTCTTGCTAACTGGAGACCTTACCCTAGCCATTATGGCAATCCCTGTAAGTCTTCACATTTTATTCCTACCAATTGTGTGTTATCAAATGCCTTGTCATGGGGAGTAGAGATTCTTCACATTGATGTCTTAGATATTACACTGAACAAAATAAGAGTTGTGTGTACTCAGCTACTACTGTAAGAGATGCAGGGGAAAGCTGATGTGGGAATGCAAAGGCAAGAACAGGATGACTCAAAAATCCTTTTTTAAAAGTTGATGTGAACCAGTATTACCATTTTACCTTCAGCTGACCAGTATGCCTTTATAAACTGAATACCTAGATGCCCATCCATTTGGTGAAGTAAACCATCTAGCATCCAAAAACAAACAGGCTAAACTCAGAATTAATACAGATGACAAATATGGTGGACCCCGGTTCAAGTCCAGTTAGAGAAAAAGAAAAGATAGTGGGAATGTTGCTTACAGAAATATGAAGATCTTGAAATTGTAAATGTAATTTTGTACTTGAGATTGATATTTTAAAAGTCTTAATGTTTTTATGCTTAAATCTTACTATTCTAATTTTAGTTTGCAACATAATTATAAATATACTCTTTGATAGTGGCTCAGTCTGTAAAGTGCTGTTCCCCACCCCCAAGTTAGAACCTTGGGATAGGATTCAATAGCTCCCATTAGTGACCCCCAACCTTCTGGGGATTGGTGTGGGGTTGGGGACAGGGGATCTCTGGAGCTCATTGGCTAGTCAGCCTAGCCAATAAGTGAGCTTCAGGCCAGAGACTTTGCTCCTCGCATAAAGATGCTTGCCAGGTAAACTTA